CTTCAAACTCGGCATATTCATCGGCATAGCATGACATTTCCTCAGCATCACCTGCATCACTTCCAACAGCCACTTCATGTTGATCACCTCTCAATTTTGCTTTCTTACGTTTCTTCATTGATCTCTTGGGAGATTTAACATCGGATCGTCCAACGGAGTCGGAAAGATCCTCAAGCTCATCCCCACTCTCTCCATCAATGACCAAAAGACCTTCGCCTTCCGACGTTGAGCATCCATCATCAAGAACTGCCATGATCTTTTCCACACAGGATGATTTTAACTTTCTCTTCTCTTGATCGACACTCACATAGGGAATGTAGTCTTTGACAGTCATTTCGATGATGTTGCCATTGGGATCTAACATGAAAGGAGTTCTTCCAGTCGGCCATACGAATGAGTATCCAAGGTCAACGCACCGCTTGCCCATGGAGATCACAGAAGGCGTGTCTTCCAGGATGTGAGCTTCTGCTGGTTCGTTGAATGCCTCGAACTTGATACTTGAACGTTTGGTCGAACATGTTACCCCATTTGCTGTATGGAAGTTGACGACTTTGTCATCATATGTTGGGAGATCCATTCTACTTATTCGTGTAGATGAGATGAGATCATGACCACTTCCAGAATCCAATATGAATCTCTTATCTCTTTCTTCAACAGGAACAGTGATACACATTGTGTTGCCCCTCTTACCATATCGACCCTCAATATGCTGAACATAGTTTTCCACAAAGACTTCCCTGGACACCTCACCGTCCTCGATGTCGAGTCTAATCAAAATGTCCAGGCTGGGGCCGACGATGACCAGGACTTCATCAATGTCACTGTACTCAACCTTCTCATCGATCAGAATAGCCATTGCTTTCCCTCGGCTCGATGCTAATCTGCATGAATAAGACCATTGCTCATCTTGCCTTATCTGATCGGTGGGCTTACCAACTTTACCATGACCTTTGGAGATGGTTTGGGATTTCCGGCTGCACTTCACGAAGTCCTTCTTCACGTACGTTTGGACGTAAGTCTTAGACTCATCGAATCCGACCTTCTTCTTGACGACGTTTGATGCAACCTTGTGGAACGTCCCTTCGTCATCACTCCATTCATGGACAAGTGCAGGAGTAGCCTTTGAGCTTGATGCTTCGGTGTTTGGAGCAGTGTTGAATAGATGAGGATCATGGCGTTTGTTGCATTTGTCTCCATATCGGCACTTGCCCTTAGCCCAGTGCCAGCATGGTTCATCAACCTTCTTGGTCTTGTTCGCTGGAGATTGACTTCTTGGAGTTCCTGGCTTTCGACCATTACCTTTTGCGTTCTTGCTCGCATCAAACACCTTTTGGTCGTGACTGTATTCGCAATCTCTGCCTTTTCTGCATGCTTTCTTGATGAAATGGAAATGGCATGGGATCTTCTTCTTGGATCTAGGACTAGCACTTCGGCTGTTTGCTCGATCCTTTCCTTTCCCTTGACCTTTCCCTTTTCCTTTTGCATGCTGTTTCGGTTGAGGTGATGGTAGAACTGGAGCTGCATCGGCCTTGGCCTTCGCCTTAGGTGCTGCCTTCTCCTTGGGAGTGGCTTTAGGCTTCGCTTTCGGATTGGCGTCTGGTGCAGCAGCAGTTGGATTCGGGGCAGGAGCAGTAGGCTTGCCGCCGCCCGCAAAGTCTCTTGCGTACTTCTCCCTAGCGGCCACATGCTTGTCCTCTCTAATTCTGGAGATGTGCCTTTCGATGACGTCCAACAGATATCGATAGCTTCGTCTTTGATCTCCTTCAATCCATGACTCGTACTGCTTGATGTCGAACATCATAAGACTCGAATTTCGAATCTTCTTGTATAGAGCATCACGAAGCCAATCATCAGGAGGTACATCATCCGGCATCATGTTTGATACCATCTCCATCCATTTCTCATAGAACACTTCCAGGTTTGAGTCACCGAGATATTTCATCGATACGATGTGCTCCATGGTGAAGGCTGTCTCTCGTTGACCTGGGGTTCTGAAGTGTTCCAGGATCATAGCCAAGATTTCTCGTCCCATAACATAGGTTCCTCTTCGGCTATGACTCTGTGTTCTCAGTCTCAGTTTGATTGCTACATGACGAGCAACATCACCGGCTTGGGCTATAACGTTTGACAATGCAATTGACAACTTGGCGTCTATTGATTGATATCGTTGCCCTCCACTGTCATTCAATAGCTCAATGTCAGGATTTGGTCGAATAGCCGGCTGTAACCATGCTTCCCACGCAGCTTTGTCTCCATCATTCGCAGCAAGAACAACACTCTTGATGAGATCTGACTGCCAAACCCCAAGGTTCTGTTGCTTTGGCCATGGGCTAACATAAACTTTGTCAGCCTCCCGTCTTGACATTCTCGGTACTTCTTCTGCCGTGTATGCCGCTGTGGAGATGTCGTCTGCTGAATCACGTTGCGATCCTCGAACTGAAGGCAAACCAGGAGGTTCTGGAGGTGGTCCTGGACCGTTGGGCCCGAAAGGGTCAGGAGGTCCATCAGGGTCAGGCGGACCACCCCATCCGCTCGGAGGCTTGTAATAGTCCTTCTCGGTTCCGTCGGCGATCTTGTTGTCGACTTCTTTCAGCAGATCGGTGATTCTCAGGGCTGACCCTAGACATAGACGTTTCAGAATCCTTGAGACTCTTTCTCAGTTCATCTAAGTGACGTTTCATGTCAATAATCTCAGAATTCTTGATACCAATCTTTTCATCCCTATCCTGAATTTCCCCCATAAACATGCATGATCTCTCATACTGCTGAACACCACTAGCCAATTTCATTTTGCGCTCACTTTCTAGTTCAGATCTTAAAGTTCGGACTTCAGCATTGGAGAAGGACGACGCCCCTACATCCGCAACTTCAGCCAATCTTTCTTTTAACAACATGTTCTCTTGTAAACATTCATGAACCTCATGATCTAGATCCTGAACCCTGATTTGAGCCATTTTGGCTTGATTACGTAGATCTTCAACAAGCATCTCATCGGGGCCACGACCGTCGGTCGTAGTGCCCTGAGTCAATGATCTTCGCAGCTTCACGTTCTGCAATTTGATCTCATCCTTCAATTCACAGTTCATCTCCTGCTCATTGGTGTAGAGCTCTTCATAGTGCTCCGCCCTTGCGATCGAATTTGCACTAGCCTGTGATTCAAGCCTCAGGTGTGATATCGCTTCGGCCTCATGGTTCCTGTATGATGCAATTCTTCTGACAGTATCATGTTCAGTATTTCGATGCTTCAGATCACTTTCCAATTTGGCCTGATTTGCCTCGAAAACCTTCTTCCTAGATTCTCTAGTGATCTCGTCAATACTGCTTTCATACAGCTCGGCCTGTTTACGAGACTGAACTAAAGCTTCACTCAATAGCTGATTCCGTTCAGATAACTCATGAACTGCAATTAATTGTTGTTGGCTAATCACTTCAAGTTGATTGCTGGAGAAGGATGCCATTTCGGATCGATTACGATATTCCATGATTGAGTTCTGGAAATCTGTCTGCATTTCTTGACCTTCATTGTATAATCGATTGGCAATATCGGTGGTTAAGACATTGGTTTGATGAAGTTGTTGCAGTCTTGCCTCCGTATTACCCAATAGTCCTTGAAGGTGATGTACTTCATCCTTGTACTCTTCCTGGATCTCCATACCACGTTGATGGATCCGTCTTGCACCATGTTCCATTAGGGCACCTCGGCGTTCAAGGTCTTGGATGCGTATTGTTGCACCTTCGTCTTCCTGAGATGCTACCATTAGTTCTGCTTGATATTCTGCAACCTCATTTGCGGAACATGACAATCTATGATTGAGTGCATTGACCTCATCAAATACATTCTGGTTGTGTTCCTGAAGATACTCAGTGAATCTGATCTCGATGTCATGAATCAGTTGATCTCTTGATGCAGCATATGCTTCCATGTGGTTCAACTGATTACGTAGGGATTGACATTGTGCCCGTAGTTCTTCTATCATGGCAATAGGTTCACTAGCCACAGAAGTATCCGTTGATCTCCTCTTAACACGACTATCCCCGGTCCTCTCACCAATTCGGTCGGTTACGGCCCTGGTGGATCTGTCCCTTGGGGTAGTTCGTCCTCGAGATGGTCGATGCCCTTGGCGGACAACGTCACTTCGAGCACTGTTTCGAGAAGATCTTGGTGTACTTTGGGTGGATATTCTTCGTCTGTTTGATGTAACTTGCCATCCGGACTGTGTAGTTCGGGTAGAGCGTATCCCACCACTGTCTGCCGTGTCGCCAGGGGACGATTGATTGACCTCCTCGACCGGCATAGCAGTGTTCTCATTGAAGGTAAACTGCGTGGTGCGCGAATCTCCGCTGCCGCCTTGCATCTTCGCGATGATGAGCTGATTGGTCCTTTGCGTCCACAATCAATTGCTCAGAAGGCCCGGCTACCAGCACGCAGGTACTCCTCTCCCGACGGGAGAAGAGAGCCCTTACGGCTGATAACCTGTGAACAATTTTATCCTTGTTCTGGATGTGGCTATTGAATTGCAATACCTGTTATGCTGGTAGTTCCGGACAGCTTTACAGCATGGCGTGCAGAGATCGGACTTTTCCCTCACGCAGGGACTTGAGCCATAACGGCGTTCCAATGTGCAATGATACATGCACATGATACATGTCCTAGCGCTCAGTTCCCTTTGACATTTTATATATATATATATAGAGATGGATGTACAAATACGTTGACAACCAGACAATTTGTAGTTTCCACATAGGACAGGATATGCAGCCGGGGAGATTGAGCTGTAAAAAGATGCCTTTCTGCAGCAAGACAAGAGGTAGCATGGCTTTACTGGGATTTCCCCCCAATTCAATAATTATTTATATATATATAATATTATCTGTATAAATGACCGCCTGAATTTTCTTTCTTTTAATTATTTTTAATTTCTGAATATTGTATCTTGTGGGTGCTAGACCCTGTGTTTGTAGTGTTTTTGAGATATTCTATCTTGTCCCCACTAAGAGTACAATATTCTATCTTTCAGCCGGTCGGTATACGCATCCGGGCTACCGCTCGATGTGCCATATGATCCGAAATTGATCTAAAAGACTTGCAAAGAAAATACACTTGCATCAAAACACTGTCAAGCGGGCTTGAATCCACAAGGTTCAGCACGTTAGGAGAAGCAGGGAACCAAAGTGTGTCATTTGCTATTGGAGATTGGGTGGAGGCAAGCCGTCGGGCTGGAACGTGTGCTTCGTGCGTCCAAGAGCTGTAGTGTAATCGCTTGTCACAATACTTCAATACAACTGCACAACGATAGAAACCAAAATTCACGAGTCGAGCGCTCTGGACACAAACGAAAAATAGATCCAGCACAAAATTCATACACTCTTTTCCAAATTGGGAGTCGTAGCCAAAACGATGTGCTTGGTTCAGTGTAATAACTGAGGCTCCCGATTCTTCCAACCTCGACTTGATGACCATTCGACAACAAGTTGGAGGGTTTTGCATGAGGGACGCCAACGCTATAGCTGCTGCTTGAGCCAACACATGGCGCACCTGGGACACTTGGGCTGCATGGGCCCCGGCCAAGTGCTGGCGGCTCAAGCACTGCTTGCTCAGACTCCGGCCGCCTCGTCTCACCTGTCCTGGCGCCCAAGGCAATGCGTCACAAGGCATCACAATGTATGCCAAAATGACGAGCTATCACAATGCAATGCTGAAAACTATCCACATATATCAACATGCAACGATCAAAGCTGAACTAATTCAACCAGACTTGTTCACTTGATCGAATAATTCTATATTGCCGCATCTTCTGCAAGAAGTCTCGACATTTTGAAACTTGGACACTTACCCAGCCTCCTCTTCTGCCTGCGTGCAGCCTGCTGCAATTGTCGCCTTCTTGCTTTTGCTTGCTCGGCGTTGCAGAGATGGCAGTGTCTGCATTCATCACCTTTGAAGCAACCTGCTGGCTTCAGAGCGAAAGCTATACAAGGAAAGCATTGCCCCGAGTTGTGTAGCTGTACCTGGTGTAGTTGCCAACTCTGCCAAGTCGTAGGTGGCATCTGTGGCATCCCTTCTCTTTCCAAGAGCCGGATCTGACCAGTGTGAGCTGGCTCTGGTTCAAAGACATTTCCATGGCCCTGGCCGTGGCCCAGGGCGTGGCGTGTCTTGCCAGTGCCGCCAGCTCCTTTGGCGCCGAGCAGTTGGCTCTCGTTCATTGGTCGCTGTGCTCGCTGTGGTCGCTCGGATTCCTTCCGCGCAGTCAAAATTGGAGCTGTGCGAGGCTCCGACCGCATCGCTCCATTGGTCTGCATTGCCCAACACACGTATCTTGGACCACAACTGGTTTGCAGAAGTGTTCAAATGTTTGCAGTCTGCCGTCCAACTGACCACTGGTTTTAAACTTGCGCAGATTTGGTTTCACAATTAACGCACATCCTCTTTGCTACGAATATGACGCCTTTTGAAAACAACTAACTTGCAACTGGCGGCCTGCATTCGGAGGCAGCAAATCGAGCTGGGCCGTCACCTGCACCTTGGTGTTTGCTGCTTTTGTTGGCTTCCCAAGAGACATAGGAGGAACTGCGTCAACTGAACATCTGCAGCATTCACCCAGAGCATGCAAAAAGTCGGTCAAAGACATGTTTGTCTTAACTCAACCCATTGCCAAAAAGTAAAGACAGTATATACTGTAAGTATGTATACATGTATGTATATATATATACATACATACATACATACATACATATATTATATTGTGTGTGTGCTTATATCATCTTCCGGGGAAAAAGGAAACATATACCTAGACAGTAACAGTCAAGATCATTTCTCCTCGGTCCTCGGAGATGACCCTGAAGCAACTTGCACATCCACGCGAAAACTTTCCAACAAATACCTTGGGGACTCCTTCGGGCTCTTTTGTATACCAATCACATGTGAAGGCTCACAAAACTGCAACAGGGCCCCTGGAATTCCACTCGAAAACTTACAGAATGGTCAGTCTTGGTAGTCTCCCAAACAAATGCAGTCATCTCCCCTTATCCAAAAATAATGCCTTGAACCACTTGCACTCCAAGAGTGCCTTAAGTGCCTTACTACCCCTACGACAACCTGTTTCATTGCTGCAAGATCCTTCCTTTGCAAGCTTTGGTGATGGCCAACAACCTATGTACTAAAACGGTAAATATGCAACCGAAGCCAATTAAATTTCTGTCCAAAACAGAGCAGTCTGCCGCGCCTGAGAGCCGGGTGACAGCTGCTGAGGAGGAATGCTGAGAAAGGCACCTTGTAATTCGTGACTGTAGAATGAGTTGCAAAATCCGCCGACCCCGCCGACGGCAAGGGGGAGCGCGTCAAAGAAGACACTACAGGTGGACGTTGAAGGCAGGACCGATGGTGCTAGAATCCGCCGACCCCTGCCGACAGCAAGGGGGAGCGCATCAGAGAAGAAGTGCTTTAGCCCTGCGACAACGTCCTTGGACCCGAGCTCCGCAGGACAAAAGCCAGCTGACCCGAGCTGTGCCGGACGAAAGCCAGCTGCAAGAGGACACGAGCAAGCTGGCAGTTGGCAGTGCAAAAGGGCAGGCAAAGTCAAGGTTTGGGCAATTCAGAAAGCAACCTTTGGCAGTGTGGGCTGCGGGCCGCGGGCCCGATCCGTTCTTCACTGCCATCGTGTTTTAGCCCTGCGGGGGGGTCCTGTGACCAGAGCTGTGCAGGACGCAAGCCAGCTGCAAGAGGATGCAGGCAAGTTGAGAGGAAAACAAGCAAATGGAAGGTTTGAAGCTAGTTTCTAGGCAGTTCAGAAAGCAATGTTTGGCAGTATGGGCTGCAGGCCGCAGGCCCGATCCGTCCTTCACTGCCGTGGTGTTTTAGCCCTGCGGGGGGGTCCTGTGACCAGAGCTGTGCAGGACGCAAGCCAGCTGCAAGAGGACGCAGGCAAGTTGGGAGCTGGCAGTGCAGGAAGGCACGCAAATGGAAGGTTTGAAGCTGCTGCGGGCCGCAGGCCCGATCCGTCCTTCACTGCCATGGTGTTTTAGCCCTGTGGGGGGGTCCTGTGACCGGAGCTGTGCAGGACGCAAGCCAGCTGCAAGAGGACGCAAGCAAGTTGGGAGCTGGCAGTGCAGAAGGGCAGGCAAAGTCAAGGTTTGGAGCTGCAGAAGGGCAGGCAAAGTCAAGGCCTAGGCAGTTCAGAAAGAAATGGCCCGATCCGTCCTTCACTGCCATGGTGCTTTAGCCCTGCGGGAGGTCCTGCATGTGACCGGAGCTGGCAGTGCAGGAAGGCACGCAAATGGAATGTTTGAAGCTAGTTTCTAGGCAGTTCAGAAAGCAACCTTTGGCAGTATGGGCTGCAGGCCGCGGGCCCGATCCGTCCTGCACTGCCATGGTGTTTTAGCCCTGCGGGGGGGTCCTGTGACCAGAGCTGTGCAGGACGCAAGCCAGCTGCAAGAGGACGCAGGCAAGTTGGGAGCTGGCAGTGCAGGAAGGCAAGCAAATGGAAGGTTTGAAGCAGGGGTCGGCGGCAGAGGGCGGCAGCCCTTAAATGTTGCAAAACGGGCAAGGTAGTCAGGGCCGGTCGTGACTTCCAGGTGAACACATTCAGAGCTCCCCAGGGAGTTCAAGACGAAAGGAATCGACGTAAAAAATGCGGAAGAAAAAGTTTCAAAGTCTATGGATATGTACAGAATCGGCATGCAATGCACGCATGACAGGAGAGTATGTATGCTGTTCTTGGTGTCAACGCCAGTAAGAGGCCATGCGCATGTTGATATTTTGGGGTCGGGGGGGTGCCATTGACGCTTGGCCTCGGTTTTGCGGCACCGTTTGTTGTGCATGTAAGCAGGGTGGAACGGGTTAAGGTCTCTCGATAGATGTAGCCATAACTTGCAACTCCCTTTATATTGGCAGATGATAGGATTTATTTCAGGCGCCAAGCGCCACTTCCAGAGCATGTGGCGCGCATGCTTCATTCACCGGGCTTGTGTTGCCATGTGCACCTTTAGCTTGGTCGCAGAAAGGAGGCATTGTAGCGGTATATCTATATATAACCATGGATACGATACCGAGGTCTATACCTTATCATTAAACATATATCATATGTATATGTCGCTCCATCAGCTCCATCGGCGTCATCGGCCTCATCGGCCTCATCGGCCCATCGGACTCATCGGCCTTTTTATGTTGCTTTCTGAAAAGCCTAGTGCAGCACGCCCCGAAGGAGGCGGAATCTGGTGCGTCCATTTTGCGCCTATGTCTTGCTGCAAGCTTTCTTTTGATTAATACTGATGCATAGCCTCTTGGCTTGCGATATAGCCTCCAAGTGTCGAACATACTGGGTGGGGTGGGGTGGGGTAAAAACGTTCGTTTCCACTTCTACCACATGGTACGATCACTTCCACACAGACGTCATGCTACGCTGCTGGATGTTCTTTTGCACTTCCAAACATACGTCTACGTCATGCTACCCTCCTGGACGTTCTCTTGCACTTGCACACATACGTCAGCTACGCATGCTCTCGCACTTCCACACATACGTCATGCTACCCTCCTGGGCGTTCTCTTGCACTTCCACATACGTCTACGTCATGCCACGCTGCTGGACGTTCTCTTGCACTTCCGCACATACGTCATGCTACGCTGCTGGACGTTCTGTCACTGTTGCTATTCCACACGCACACACGTCTACGTCATGCTAGGCTGCTGGACGTTCTTGTGCCCTTCCACACATACGTCATGCTACGCTGCTGGACGTTCTGTCACTGTTGCACTTCCACACACACGTCTACGTCATGCTACGCTGCTGGACGTTCTCTTGCACTTCCACACATACGTCATGGTACGGTGCTGGACTTTCTCTTGCACTTCCACACATACGTCATGCTACCCTGCTGGACATCCCCTTGCACTTCCACACATACGTCTACGTCATTCAACGCTGCTGGACGTTCTCTTGCACTTCCACACATACGTCATGGTACGCTGCTGGACGTTCTGTCACTGCAATTCCACACACTAGACAAGAATGGATCATTATAGTGATCCGGCAGGAACTGAATCCTGTAACATGCAAATTGCAAGCACGTCGGGATGATCAGTCCCGATATCACAATCTCAAACCACCGTCTTCGTTGGGCAGAGTGGATGGAATGAGATTCACTGCCCCCCTGCATTGGTACTATGATTAGGGAGAGGACAGAAGGAAGAAAAAGAGAGAAGTTTTACATCTATTCAGATGTTACACACACACACCCGGCCGGAGCCGGGTCAACCCTGAAAGGCAAGAGGAAGAAAAAAGCGAACACAGACGACGGGCAGAAAGCCAAAACAGCGCAGGGGGGAGAGGGGAACAGACGGACCTCCAAAACCAACCTACACGGCGAAACGGACCTGACCAAAACAGTGCACACACCTAAACCCCACGACACATTACGGAGAGGCACGAGGGGAGAATTAGGGACCAAATGGGGGACTAGTTGATGACAAACAAGAAAACCAAAACAATTAATTAAACATCAGGACTCAGTTCCTAAATACCTAGGATTCGTGCGTTATGCCCCTCCGGGCCCGTGTTCAGGTCAGCCACAAGGGCATATAACGGCTCTTCAAATTCCATCGAATTAAATGAATTAGGTGCACAACATGTTTGACCTCACCAGAGAACCATCAAAAGAAAGAAGACCACACCTAAAGGTCGTGTATCTGCCTGATTCCTGTGTCATGCAATGATGCAATGTGACTGCAAAAGTTGCTGCGAACAAAAAAAAGGTTTCTGAATGTTCAGCACAGCTTCACAGTCAAAGAACTGCTTTCCACGAGGTTTCACAAGGGACCGCAGGATCAGCGGGAGCTCTCGAAAAAGGTGCACAACCGTAAGGCCAGCTGTTGCACTTTACTTAGACGAATTACCAAATTAAAATGTGTGAATTCAGAAGTCAGGTCAGTCGACAGTCACCCTAAACAGGGTTGCCTCAATTGGCCCTATGGCACCTTCGGAGTCACCATAGGAATCACACTAGACAAGAATGGATCATTATAGTGATCCGGCAGGAACTGAATCCTGTAACATGCAAATTGCAGGTACGTCGGGATGATCAGTCCCGATATCACAATCTCAAACCACCGTCTTCGTTGGGCAGTGGATGGAATGAGATTCACTGCCCCCCTGCATTGGTATTATGATTAGAAAGGGAGAGGACAGAAGGAAGAAAAAGAGAGAAGTTTTACATCTATTCAGATGTTACACACACACACACGTCTACGTCATGCTACGCTGCTGCACGTTCTCTTGCACTTGCACACATATGTCATGCTACGCTGCTGGACGTTC